GGGTTTTATAGGGTTTAGGGCCAAAAAGGTCTGTATAGGGCTTAGGGTTCGTGTGTGTTTTCCCTGTTTCTCTCTCACTCTCTGTGCGTGTGCCCTCACATCTCGTCGGTCAAAACTTCCTGCTGCTTTATATAATGTGTGAGAGCTGTTCGCAGTTTCGCTGTGCGAAAGCTTCTCACACAATGAGGCACGCGATGCTCTTCACATTGGAAGTCGCGATACAATGTGTCACAGGTTTCGAAACTGCACTGCGACGACATCTTTTTTTTCGCGAGAGCGATGAGAGTGCTTCCTCCAAGTGCGAGAAACCTCCCCCAACTCGGTGTAACACCAAGAAAGGAACAGAGAGGGGAGTTTGCTTTGTGGATCTCCCCACTGACTCGGTGTAACACCAATAAAGGAACAGGGGAGATCTCATCTGTCAAAATGGACCAGGCGAACAGAGAACAAAGGTCACAGGAGTGTGTGCTGCTTTGGAGCAACACGGGTATGTCTTCAGAAAGTTCCAGAGCTCAAAGCCGGCCAGAGCCTGCCAGAGAGCACACTCTGAATCTTCTTTTGTGGGAATGCAAACACACAGTCTGTAAACCCTTGGAGCAGGCCTTTGCCAAAAGTGGGCCAAAGCCCAGTCCCAAATGTTCCCCTTGCTGAGCACCGTCAAGTCTCCACAGCTGGCCACCAAAACCTCGTCCAGGATGATGGAGCCTGCCAGAGAGATGCAAACAGAGTCTTCCTTTTGTTGTGGCTTATAGAGGGTTTATAGGGTTCACAGGATTTACAGGTTTCTATAGAGGGGGTTTAAAAGGGTTGTGCGGCAGGCCTCTGTGCACTGCGAATTTTTTTCCGCGAGAGCGATGAGAGCTCTTGGATTTTGTGCCCTGACCTAACTCGGTGTAACACCAAGAAAGGGACAGGGCAGTGCTTTGATATATTGTGCCCTGACCTGACTCGGTGTAACACCAAGAAAGGGACAGGGCAGTGTGGTTTGATATATATTGCGCCCTGACCTAACTCGGTGTAACACCAAGAAAGGGACAGGGGCGTTTGCTTTGTGGATCTCCCCACTGACTCGGTGTAACACCAAGAAAGGAACAGGGGAGATCTCATCTGTCAAAATGGACCAGGAGAGCAGAGAACAGAGGTCACGACAGCTTCTGCCACTGCAGGTGAAGTGCAAGCCTCATCTTCAGGTTCAGCTTGTGGCTCGCCTCCTCTCGCTGAACACCACGACAGCAGGAAGCCATCAGAGTGCCGAGCTTGGACATGTAGTCCTCGAGGGCCCCGAAACCCAAAATCGTTTAGACTTGAAGCCCTCTCTATATATAAGTCCTAGGACCCACATATATGAAACCTCTACACAAAAAAAAACCCTTTGGATTGTGCGAGCACGTGTTTATAAAGCAGGAGACCATTCATTTCTGTCCTCCCCTCGCCAGCAAGATGTGAGGCCAGGATGAATCAAGTGACTGAGCATGACGATATGCTCGCAGGCATGCATCCTTCTATATGTCTCTGGAAGAAAAGGTTTGTGGGCTTTAGAAAAAGGCTGTTTATAGGGTTTAAGGGTTGCAGGATTTGTGTTTGTATATTTATAAAAGCCACAAATGTGAAAAACATGCATTGTTCCGGAAGAAGAGAATCTTTTCCGTAGGATTGAAGGCCCGACGATCTTCGCTGCGAAAGCGATCCCCGACCATGACATACAAACATGCGAAGTCCCGAAAGTTCGTCTTCAGTCTGTCTGCAGCTTCGGCAGGAAGGCAGAAATAGCCGTCTGCAATGGGCCATTCCTCCAGTATCTCCTCGAACTTGCATATCAAATCCAAGAGTAACCCAATCTCTTGGAAGTCCTGACCAGGAACACCAAAATGACCCCACATTGCCCGCACGGCTGCTGCCATGTCCTTGATCTCCGCCGCTTTTCCACGAAGCTTCGGAAAGTCGGTCTTCTTCTTATACATGCTGACCTTGTTCAGCCTCTGGGAGTACGGGCTGTGCACCTTGTGGGTGGATTGGTATGTCTTCAGAAAACCCCAGAGTTCATGCAGATTGTCGCTTGGACTCCCCTGCATCGTCTCCTCACAGAGGACCCAAAAAACCGATCCATAGAGCTGCTGGAGATAGCCAAGGTACCGGCAATGCATCAGGTCAAAATGGACCACCAGCACAGAGCAGAGGTCCTTCTGGAACATCCTGTTCATGCTTCGGCTCGGCCATGCTTTCCAAGCAGCAGGGGTCCACAGAGTTGTCCTCCATGCGGCATCCTCCGCAAAGCAGTGCCAACTGCGGTCTCCTTTCTTCTGGCACTGGCACAAGCAACAAGGGGAATTGGAATTCCACCGGGGAAGGCCCTGGAACTGTGCCATGTAGTCCAGGTCTCCACAGCTAGCCACCAAGACAGCTCTATAGCCGTCCGCGAGGTATTGGCCAGCTCGCTGTCCCTCGGGACTGTGGGGATCGAAATCATATCCTCGCCAGTCTTTTTTCGGGAAAACGCCGGACCACAAGGCTTCGAAAGACCAGAGTAAAAGACTCCAGAGGTCATCATTCGTCTCTTTGGAGAATGACTTGTGCCAGGCGGCCCAGATGTAGAGCTGGCTTTGTTTCGTGGAGCCGCTACCCAAAAGGGAAGCCCATGACATCACTAAGGCTGAAGAGGACCAAATCTTCCCCTTGGCCAGCACCGGTGTTTCGTCCCCGTGCAATGATAATGGTATGATTTTTCTCACCTGATGGGATGGCTCCGATGCCAGTGGGTGGCCCTCCCACTGCGGCAGCCCTCTGGCCGACTTCCAAAAGCGATCCAAAAACGCCTGTCCAGGCATGATCACTTGTTTCCATGCTGCCTTGTAATTGTGGTAGAGGCTGCTAAATAACTCGTGTGGCAGGCTGATGGTGTAGGCATGCTCGTCGCTGGGCACTCCGTCGACGGGCACGGGCACTTCAGAAGCATTTTTTCGCAAAGTGGTGCGACTGGGATTGTACATCAGTGGCTCCTGCCCGACCAATCTCATCAAGTCCCTGTTGACATTGTTGCTGTGTTGACCGGAGCTTCCAAGCTTGGCGAGGGGCTCGAGGTCAGTCACAGTTCGTTCTCTGGCATCATGCAATGCTGCAGCAGATATTGCTTGCACCTGCTGTGGTGATAGCAGGCCCCATGCAAACTGTTCCAGGAGCCAAACTCTCAATCTGGAGCCTGGCAGTTCACTGGCGGCTGCTGCGATGCCAGCACTTGTGGTCCTCTTTTTTTTTGGTGGTGGCCCCAAACCGGCCATCAGAACATCAGAGATAGGAAATGTCCTATTCGATCATATTTTCATCTAAAAAGTAAACCCTCTAACCCTGAACCCCTGAACCTTTTTGAAGCTGAAGCCCGTAGGGTTATAGCTCTTGGATTTTGTGCCCTGACCTAACTCGGTGTAACACCAAGAAAGGGACAGGGCAGTGCTTTGATATATTGTGCCCTGAGCTAACTCGGTGTAACACCAAAAAAGGGACAGGGCAGTGCTTTGATATATTTTGTGCCCTGACCTAACTCGGTGTAACACCAAGAAAGGGACAGGGGAGTGGTTTGATATATTGTGCCCTGACCTAACTCGGTGTAACACCAAGAAAGGGACAGGGGAGTGGTTTGATATATTGCGCCCTGACCTAACTCGGTGTAACACCAAGAAAGGGACAGGGGAGTGGTTTGATATATTGCGCCCTGACCTAACTCGGTGTAACACCAAGAAAGGGACACGGGACTGCTGGGTGGTGTTTGATATTCGAAACAAAAACAGCTGCGGCAAGGCTTTCTGGACAATACTTAGCATGATTATCCCTGTTTCTGAGGGTTGAGGACAAAGACGGACCAGGCTTTGGGCAATACTTAGCATGATTATCCCTGTTTTGAAGGGTTTAGACTGAAACGGAAGAGGGCTTTGGGCAATTCTTAGCATGATTATCCGAACTTTTGCGGGTTTAGGGCCAAGACGGACCAGGCCTTGGGCAATACTTAGCATGATTATCCGAACTTGTGAGGGTTTAGGTCCAAGACGGACCAGGCTTTGGGCAATACTTAGCATGATTTAGCATGATTATCCGAACTTTGAGGGTTTAGGGCCAAGACGGACCAGGCTTTGGGCAATACTTAGCATGATTATCCCTGTTTTGAAGGGTTTAGACTGAAACGGAAGAGGGCTTTGGGCAATTCTTAGCATGATTATCCGAACTTTTGCGGGTTTAGGGCCAAGACGGACCAGGCCTTGGGCAATACTTAGCATGATTATCCGAACTTGTGAGGGTCTAGGTCCAAGACGGACCAGGCTTTGGGCAATACTTATAGCATGATTATCCGAACTTTGGAGGGTTTAGGGCCCAGACGGACCAGGCTTCGGGCAATACTTAGCATGATTATCCCTGTTTCTGAGAGGGTTTAGGATCAACTCTTTTTATAAACCCTTTTGAAAGCCCTAAGCCCTTAAAAATTCAAGGCTGGACCCCAAACCCCTTCAACTGGCCACTCCAGCCAGTGATCTCCTCGACCACTTGGCTGCACAGCTGGCCTGTGCAGAAGGGTTCGGATGTATATAGGGTCGCGAGTCGAGGGAAGAGGGTCGCCGATTCAGCACAGCATGTGTGGCCTGCTTCGAGCAGGGTCGTTTGGAGATTCTCCTTGTTGATGCGGGTGCCATCGGGCAGGTCCTGCAGCACACATTTGCATATATATAGGCACACTTGTACACATCTCTCTGGTCCTGGAAGGATCGCACATGCTCCAGCAAAGCTTTCTTGTCCGTCAGAGCTTGGATGGTGGCCTTCCTTGTGGGGGCTGTGACATGAAGCATGGGCTCTCTATACTCTCTGTTACATAGATTCTCGATAAGATGCATTTTGTTGAGGAGGGGGTCGTCTTTGTTCTGCTTGATCTTGTCGCTCAGTTTGCTTGCATCCTGGAACTGTGACGTGCAATTCCCTGCCCTAACTCGGTGTAACACCAAGAAAGACACAGGGAACTGCTATGATACTCCCGCGAGGACCTTCTTGAGCTTCTCGACGGCGCTTTCAGCCTTCTTTAGGAGCCCGTCCGCTTTCGACCAGTCGGCCTCTGACAAGGCCGCTGGCACGGCAGGCTCCTCCTTCTTGTCCTCGATGGCTTTGATGGTTGGCACCGCCACGGTCGGCGGAGCAGCCGATGAGGCAGCGGCGTTCCTGAGGTCCTCCTCTGTCGGCTCAGGCCTTTCCATCGACACACTGTCGAACAGGTTTTGGAGTTGTCCTGCTTGGCAGCCTGAGACTCTCAGAGCCTCGGACTTGATGTTTGCCACGTTCCTTCGCTCGTCCATCGAAGTGGACTTCAAGGTTCGCCATTGACAGAACACCACGTTGTCTTGGGTGACAACGGAAACTTCATCATTCAAGATTGCGGCCCTGAGCTGCTCATCCGACAACCCAAAGCGCCCTTTAAAGAGCGTTCTCGGCAATCCCTTGTCTCCCCACCCAGTGGACTGCTTCTTCTCCAGACTGCTTTCCCCCGTCACTTCTGCGGCTTCGCAGGCGAGGGCAAGCTTCCCTGTCTCGGGGTCACGACTCACTGAGTCCTCGATAAACTTCGTCAGGTTCTTCCTCTTGCCGTTGCCGCCGGCACTCAAAGCCTCCCACTCCGTCTTCATCTTCTCTGGCACTGCTGCTGCGAGCAACACGTTGAACTTGTGTTGCTTGCTGCGGTCTCGTCGATTCGGCCCAGCTTCGCTTTCCTCCGGCTCTTCTGCTGGAGTCTCGCCGGACTCCTCAGGCCCAAGCCCATTGATCCAGTCGCCGGTCAAGGCCTCTGCCATGCTTCGCTTCCTTGTGATTTGCTTTGGCTTCGGGTCGGCCTTCGCTTTGGGGTCGGCCTTCGCTTTGGGGCTGGCCCCCTGAGCCCCGAGCCCCGAGCCCCGAGCCCCGAACCGGAGCCCGGAGCCCGCCCCGCGGCTCGAGCCGACCCGAGCCCCGTGGGGGGGGTGGGGACGGGGGGGGGGTGGGGGGGTGGGGGCCCGAAATTCACCAGAAGGAGAAAAAACAAAATTTCAAATTATAAGCTTTTTTTCTCGATCTCTGCATTTATATATAGTTTTCTGTATTCAAAAGCTATAGAATGAAACCGTTTTTCTTTGTTTTTGCTCACATTGAAGACTTTTCCAGCAAAAGTGTATGCACTTTCGGCCAAAAGTGTATACACTTTTGGCGAAAGTGTATAGACTTTTGGCAAAAGTGTATACACTTTTGGCCAAAAGTGTATACACTTTTGGCGAAAGTGTATACACTTTTTAAGAAAGTGTATACACTTTTGTGAAAGTGTATGCACTTTTGGTGAAAGTGTATGCACTTTTGGTGAAAGTGCATGCACTTTTGGTGAAAGTGTATGCACTTTTGGTGAAAGTGTATGCACTTTTGGTGAAAGTGTATGCACTTTTGGTGAAAATGTATGCACTTTTGGTGAAAGTGTATGCACTTTTGGTGAAAGTGTATGCACTTTTGGTGAAAATGTATGCACTGTTGGTTGAAATCTATACATTTTTGGTGAAAATGTATAGATTTTAAGCTAAAATTATGCATTTCTGGTGAAAATGTATAGATTTTTGGTGAAAATCTATACAATTTTGGTAAAAATGTATAGATTTTTGGTTAAAATCTATACATTTTTGGTAGAAATGTATAGATTTTTGGCTAAAATCTATACATTTTTGGTGGAAATGTCTAGATTTTCACCTAAAATGATACATTTTTGCTGGAAATGTATAAACTTTTGATTGAAATCTATACATTTTGGGTGGAAATATCTAGATTTTCACCTAAAATGATACATTTTTGCTGGATATGTATGAACTTTTGATTGAAATCTATACATTTTTGGTGGAAATGTATAGATTTTCACCTAAAATGATACATTTTTGGTGGAAATGTATGAACTTTTGATTAAAATCTATACATTTTTGGTACAAATGTATAGATTTTGGGCTAAAATGTATGTGTGTTCTGCAAACGTCTGTGTTTTTTTGCAAGTAAAAAAACATTTTTCAATAAAATCCATATGTATTCAGTGAATTTTATTACTGGTTGCTGATAATCCAATCAAAATTACAATCGTTTTAAGTATTTTTCATGGAGATTCCAATGGAATTTCTACAGAACTCTAAATTCGCGGATGAAATTTGGCTCTTTGTTTTAAAGAACATGATTGAAATGCTACGGAATTTACAAAACTCTTTTGTTTTACAATGTGAAACCGTCACAAAATATATGCAACTTCTACGGTTTCCGTCTCAAACCATTGAGAAGATTTTGATTTCATTCTGAACAATCACAACAAAAACCGGTTTTGGGAGCATAAGAACACTCACCCCACCCTATACCCCACCCCACCCTATACCCCACCCCACCCCCCATGATGGTTTTCGCTGTCCCCTTGTTGTGTTTTGGTGTGCTCACATAACCCTCCCCTGCCCTAACTCGGTTTATGAAGTTCGTCGGAGTTTCAAAATATCACAACATAGAAACAAACTCAATGTATTAAATGGGACATGTATATTCCCCTTCGAGGAAATGTCGAACATCAGACAATAGTAAGATTCATCAATCAGTATTGCCCGAAATGATATATGGGCGCGCAAACATATTTGCGAAACATATCAAAATTGTAACTGCTACGAAGCTGCTCGCTCGACTGTTTTGCACACATCGGCAAACTGGGGATGAGTTGCATTGCTGGGCCCCTCGGCCCAGCATAACACAAGAGCCACAGCTCAGTTCTGACGTGCTCGGTTTGACCGTGCACCTCAAGTCATAATTCCCCCTAGGGTTGGGTGGGTGGGACAAAATTTGTTTTCCTCATTCACACTGATTGAGGAAACTGGCAGCGGCATGAGGCCATGAAACAATTCCCACCGGAGTACATGGTAAAGAAAGGACATGAAAACTAAAGTGGCAAACATGGCAATCGATCCATCAAGAATCGGTTAGAGAACATGTCCTCTCTTTTTTTTTTTTTTTGAAACCGCCTTCCCATGGAAGGCTGTCCGACGTTTCATAAAGGTATATCGTGCGCGCTCGACAGAGTTCTTATGAAGTTCGTCGGAGTTTCAAAATATCACAACATAGAAACAAACTCAATGTATTAAATGGGACATGTATATTCCCCTTCGAGGAAATGTCGAACATCAGACAATAGTAAGATTCATCAATCAGTATTGCCCGAAATGATATATGGGCGCGCAAACATATTTGCGAAACATATCAAAATTGTAACTGCTACGAAGCTGCTCGCTCGACTGTTTTGCACACATCGGCAAACTGGGGATGAGTTGCATTGCTGGGCCCCTCGGCCCAGCATAACACAAGAGCCACAGCTCAGTTCTGACGTGCTCGGTTTGACCGTGCACCTCAAGTCATAATTCCCCCAGTCTGCTTTAGCATGATGACACAATCGACTTCAGAGCAACTTTCGACAGCGGGCACTTGGGTACCTCAACATGTAGAGGCCAATGGCTAAGCTCGGACAGCGATCCGCGGCTCGGCGAGTCTGCGATGTTCGAGGCTGAAGGCACACGTGCTATCCATAAGAAGCACGGGGATGCTCCTAAAGTCCTTAGATCGCGCAAGGCCATGCGCCCAGCTCGGCCCCAGATTTGACCGTCAGCGAACTGAAGTTTGCCTATGAAGGAGGGTAACCGGCAGGGGACTATGGACTTATCCCTAAGAACCTCCTCAATCACAGCATTCAGCTCCTCGCACCTGGAAGGCTTGTTTCGGATATTGATAAGTCCCTCCGTGCTCTGGGATACATCCAGAGTAACTCCCAAGACTTCGACATCGGCAGAGAAAGGCGTGCACTTCTCATCTGCAAAGTCGAACCCCGCTAACTTAAGGAACCCCTTAACTAGAGCCGAAGTTGACGTGGCCACAAGCGAATGCGTTGCCATGGGGAAATCGTCGAAGTATGCGGACCAGCATGCTCCTAGGTGGCACCCGAGGGCATGCAACAGCAAGCTGACGCGCAGAAAGTGGTATACTGATGCAAGCGCTCCGAATGGGAGCGTGCGCATGACAAAGCAAGAGATGGATCCCGTTTTCGGATCCTTCAAGGTCACCACGCTTTTGTCGAAATCGCAGGGACTCAAAGGTAGCTGTTTGTATGCGGATTTCAAGTCCAAGGTGGCGACTTGCATGCTCGCCCCCGATTTCTGCCAGTCAGGGTGGACGTGCCCCGTCAACCTCTCTCCAGAGGACAAAGTGAAATCGACGGCTCCTCGCTTCCGGTAGAAATGGCACAACACAGAAAGAGACCATAAAAGATGGTCCATCGCCTGAAGCACGATCCGTTCGCTTGTAGAGCAGGCTTGGTTTACAAGATTCTCCTTGAAGTCGTCGATCGGTCTCAAGCGTCCTTTTTGCACAACACAGAAGCGGCGCACTGGGATCCATGCCCCAAGTCGCTTTCCAATGTCTTCGGGAGACATCGGCCCTTCTAGCCACTTTTTCTGGGTTGACTCTTGAAGAGTCACATCGTACAGCTCGTCAGCGTTCTCGTCAAGAGGATCAGATGACACACGTGACAAGAGAGAATCTTTGATGCTATCAGCGTTTTCCATCAACTCCGATTCGCTGATGGAGGCGAGGTACCCTCCTTCCCTGAACACACCAGAAGGGCTCAGGCAGCCAACGAGTCGGAAGCCCTGGCGCATTTCTGAGAAGAGACCCTTGTCAGGCCAATCAATTTCGGCCGCCATCTCCTCCAGGAGAGCCGTACGCTTGTTGGCGAGGATTTCCCTCACGGAAGGCTGCATCTTGGCACGGTGTGCATGCTCGACTGGCGCCAGCTCCGTCGCTCTGGCCCTCCATCTTTGAAGACGAAGAAGTCTGAGCTTGCAGATCTCCGCAGGGGATTTTGTTATCTGCTCAAACAAGGATTTGATCAAGTAGTCTGGTAGCTGTGCCAGGGAATCAAACGGGTGGTGCAGCAGCTTAGCCTCTCTGACGAAAGACTCTGGGCTCCTGAAGACTCCAAAGACACAGAAGACACCTTTACTTCCCCTATTCTCGGAACGCAAGACTTTGCTGCCGGCCGGGACGCCGTGAACATCATGCTTGAGGCAGCGCTTGTTATTAAGGGTCGGCGCCCGGGGCAGCAGACGGGAGAGGATTGCACTATGTTCCGATAGGAGTTGCGGGTGTAGGCGCCCGCGAGGCTGCTTGTGGGCTCGGGCCAGGACTGGATGAGCCGAGCCCAACGTGTAGTTGAGGCGCGCAGCCTCAGACTCAAAGACGTCACACAAGGCCTGACACATGGCCGGTGGGTAGGCTGCTTCCTCCGCCGTGGCGAAGGTGGCAGAAGAGGTCTGGCCCCATGATGCATGTTGTTTGCAGCCTGGGCACATGAGAGCCATGCGAGAGATACACGAGCTGTTGCACAAAAAGGAGGTCTTCTTGTCGCGTTCGCTGCCGAAAGCGCATGCCTGACAATGTGCGAAGAAACCATGAGCCAAAGGGTACGCTAGACATGGCAGTTCCCAGAACATGCTGTTGGTAGGGTTCTCCACGCACCAAGGCACGGAGTGCTGATCGCACATTTCAAGAAAAGCACAAAGGTGTTTGTATATGGCATTGGCAGCTTTAAGCTTGACACAGTCTCTGGTAGAGGCCCACGGGACACCCCACGGATGTGAAGTGGTGCGGAGCACTGGGGGTCCCGGGCGGTAGTTGCGAGCAGCACTGCAGGTGCCGCAAGGCGGAGCAGCAAACACCATCACCACCCGCCGGGACTTGATTACAAATTTGAGGACCTCCCAGGAGTGGCTTT